CCATGCTGATCATCTGATATGATATTTCGTATTGGACTGTAAATATTGGAGTATGATAGTATTTCAAACGATTTGGAGGAATTGCTTGGTATTGAAATGGCTCTATAGTTTTTTATTGATGACATATCGCCCTTTTTAAAAACTGATCACCTGATCGATGTTTATTGTTGGTGAATTATTTGTGCAGTGATCAAGAGTATCACATGAAGAGACATATTGTGGGAAAATATGGCCCACAGGAATGTATTTGGTAACTTTCAATCAGTGAAAATGACTACTTTCATATCTCCAGGAATTTTTGAGTTACCTCTTTTGTTCTGCATGAAATTTCAAAATTCACTTTCTTCCTTAATTTTGCGTTCATTTTCGTTAAGGAAGTTTTCAGAAGCATTGTTTATTTGGTATTTTACTTCATCACTCAGGGCGATGAATTGCTGCTGATAAAAGGATGTTTTATGACTTTTCAGATTTTTGTGGGCCGTTGTTTCTTTTGAATGTTTTTAATTATATTTGGTTTGAATCAGGGAGGGTATCTACGGAGACGGTATCTTGGCGAAATGAAGAGTGGCTATGCTTAGAAAAACCGTTATACAATTCTTCAATAGAACTGAAATGATGAGACAATGGAAAGACTACAGAAAAACTCTGAGTAAATACAACAAAGAACTTGGATTAATTAACCTCAGCAAGATTTCTTTCGGAGATTAATTCCATAGAACAGCAGAAGAATAGTGGAATTACGTAACAAATACTTAGAACAAATAACTAAATATAGACAAGAACAATGGCAAATTTTCTATTTGTACCAAACTTGGTATGATTCTCACGACACAGTTATGAAAGGGTGGACTGATGTTTCGAGAATTTGTACGCCTAACATATCTACTAATACTGGCACTCCTCAAACAGTTTGAGGAGTGCCACATACTGTCGAAAGCGCTCGCAGATAATTATTAGAAGATATAAAGCTTTAAATCCTTTTTGTAGAATTCAATATTGAAATACCCAAAATAAAGAAAATTAGTTGCATCAATCAAAATATATACAGGGTGTTTCAGAATTCGACGGACAAACTTATACCACGTCATTCCTCTTGCAAAATGATGAAAAATGAGGTACGACATGTGTGTCCGGAAATGAGCCGTTTCAGAAATACAGGGCGTTGAAGTTCCAAAATAAAAAGACCCTTTTCGTCGTAGCTCCCGGACTAAAAGGAATAAATTGATGAAATATATGTACTATGTACATTATTGCAATTCGATTTTATTTCAAGACATTCGGATAGATGCTGAATCAGCGAGCTTTCATATTGTGGGAAAATATGGTCCACAGGAATGTATTTGGTAACTTTCAATCAGTGAAAATGACTACCTAATGGTGATTGACTTCCTGAATTTTCGTCATGGTAGAGTTTCAGTGATAAATGAGTCGCTGCTGATATCACAAGATATCAGCTACTTCTTCACATAAACCACTGAAAATGTTTGCTGCAGCAGTAGACAGAACGTTTTCTTTCACAAGTTCCTTTCGACTGAGGCATACTAGCCCACATTTTATTTTTTTCAATCATGGTACCGGCCTATGCAGTATTAGACTAAATATATAATCTGTGTCAAATTAATCATTAGTTATCATCATCTACTATTTTTTTTCTGATTGATTCGGCTGTTACTTCAAATCACTTGATAAAGCTACTGTGTTAGCGAAACATGTTGTGATACATTTTTCAAATAAAGGTTGTGGAGATCAAATCGTAAGGTGTAGTTTATGAAATCCACTATTTTGTCTGAAACTCAGAAAATATCCGAAGACAAAATACAAACAAAATTGAATAGTCAGGATGATACATCTTCATTTACTATTTTATTCAAAATAACACATTTACTAACATTTTTGAAGCGATATGAACCCTTCCAAAGAATTCTCAAGTCAGCGTCAAAACACCATGTCATCAGCTGCACACTGACTAGCACACCATATAAAGATGAGTTGGTTGCTATAAAAAAAAGTAAGGAAGAGTTAGGAACGGCAAAAATAAGTAGCAAGGACATGAAAATAGAAACAGCTGTTCAAAAAGTGAAAACTGATTCGTTCAATGACACAACCAAAAATGGAAAGAGAGAAACACACACATACACAGTAACGCTTAAAAAAAGACTGTAGAACAACTGATTGAATCGAAGAAGAAGGTGAAGATGCAATATGTTCATGTTGCCACGATTATTGTTGCAACTCGGAAGTGGAAAAATAAGTTTTATTATGGGTTCAAATGAGGTTACCAGTGGTTCTTTTTAATCAACCTGTAGCCTAATTTGAACCATTTTTCAAAAAAAAACGAAACGAAACGAATTCTCACGGAAAAAGTCTAGTTGAAAAACTCCTGACAGCACCAGAAGATGGCAAATGAGACTTGAATAAACGAAGGTATATACAACGTGTTCATACTCATGAAAGTGAGGTTAAAATGAAGTTTGCAAAGAAGTAACAGAGGGGATTCTCATATTTGTATGTCAAGATTAAAATTGGTTAAAAACGTTTAACATTACGTATTCTTTTTATGATAACATGAGATGATTTCACAATTAATCTGAAATTGTGTGTGTGTGTGTGTGTGTGTGTGTGTGTGTGTGTGTGTGTGTGTGTGTGTGTGTGTGTGTGTGTGTGTGTGTGTGTGTGTGTGTGTGTGTGTGTGTGTGTGTGTGTGTGTGTGTGTGTGTGTGTGTGTGTGTGTGTGTGTGTGTGTGTGTGTGTGTGTGTGTGTGTGTGTGTGTGTGTGTGTGTGTGTGTGTGTGTGTGTGTGTGTGTGTGTGTGTGTGTGTGTGTGTGTGTGTGTGTGTGTGTGTGTGTNCACTTACTCTATTTTACAAATCGACAACTTTCGTTTCTGAATAGACTTAGTCCGGACGCTAAAATGAAATACAATAGAAAAAAACTAAAAAATACTTAGAAGCACTTTGAGTTTTACAATTGAAAATCAATTAGCAAATGATTTTTAGTGTAAGTTTAATTTTTGAACGTGTCTGACTGAAAATCCCGTTAATCCCTACCATCTAATCGAAAAAAAAAATCAAAATAATAATCTTTCTCATACCACCTACACAGTAGGCTCTTGTACAGGATCCTTTCGTCCGTACAGTACTTCGAAACCGCGGTCTGCATGTGATCTACTTGAATAATTTCAGCATGGTCCTACTGCTGGATGAAAGTGAAACATCTGCGAGAGTAGCCTCTGTTAGTTATCTTGCATAAATGTTTGTTGGATATAATTCAATATTCAGCGTAGTATTATCCGGGGTAGTAGTTGTTTTCCGACAGACGTCAACCGGAGCCAACCGTGTAGATAGTTTGGGAAAGGAATCACACGTTAAAATGTAAGACCTCGTTAATCCTTAGCTCGCACAAGTTTCGACTTCTGAGGGTTGTCGTTGTAGGGGTGCGACAGCTGGTTAACGGAAAAACAGATTTTTTTTTAACAGATTAATATTTCAAAATTCATTTCGTAGTATTTATTTTCTCATAATAGACTCTTCGCCAGTGCAAGTAGATTAATTTTGCCAACCTCTGAATTACCTCCACTGATTAAGAGTATTAAGGGTTGCTGTATTTCTCGATATTGAAGGAGCATTTGACAATGTACTACCTAAATCTAGAGGATCATCCCTGGCTAGAAAAGGCATAGAATCGATCATAACTGGCTGAATCTATGCCATGTTGGTGAATAGAACTACGACTCTTCAAGACGAGGCCATCAGGTTCAGGGTCATCAGGGGCTGCCCGCAATTTGGGGTACTATCTCCCCTTCTGTGGTCGCTCCTGATGGATAGTCTGCTTGACCCCCTTGACAGAAAAAGAAGTAGATCTGCAAGCTTATGCAGATGACCTTATCATCTTGGCAAGATCCACGTCAGAAAGGGTAGCTTGTAATATATCCCAAAGTATGATGGACGTTGTTTACAGTTGGTACCAGAGAGAGCAAATGTCTGTCAACCCCAGCAAAATTGTAATAATCCCATTCAACAGAAGGAGAAAATTTGACGATTCGACGTCACTTTCCCTTCATCGGACCAGAACTTGTCATTGGCATCGCTTTAGGCTTTGTCAAACCAACATTGAACACCTGGATGGCAAGAATATTCCTGGACTTCTGGCAAAATCTTTCAGGATTGGCTCACTCAAGGCCTTCATTTATCCTTCGAACCTTGAAACCATACAGTTGTTGGACTACAGTAGGGATGAACTACGATCTCTAACAGGTCTTCTCACAGGTCATTGTCGAAATTATGACTGTCGAAAGACAGTGTATGTCGCTTGTGTTTGGAAAATGATGAAACAGCAGAGCACATACTTTGTGCCTACCCCACATCGGATCGAATCAAGTTTTCAGAGTTTGTCAGAGCCGCACTTTTACCATCTGACATCTGAAAGGTTTTTCTATGAATTGATGAGAGGCAGATAATTAAGAACTTTTTGCTGTTATGAAATATATGAAATCTGAAAACTGAAGTCAACGTGAACGGAGTCGAGGGCAACACCTATACAAAATATATTTGAATGCTTATTTTCTCTTTTCAACTATAGGAATTTATAAATCATTTCAAATTGTGTAGTTTCTATAAAATTAGGATGAATGTATTATAGATTCTTTACTGTCATGGATATTACTGTAAAATTTTGAAGAAATTTACACATTCAGAATTGAAAACAGAAAATTTTGGAGGGTGATGATGATAAAGCTGGAATTTTTGAAATGAAATCTGATGGACAGGTGACCTTTTAGATTATTGGGTACAAATGTACAGGTTAACTACGTCATGATAGCTTTGCTAAAATGCCATAGGTTTGACGGTTTTAGAATTAAATTTCATCAGTGTTTTCAGACATAAAATCATCAAAAAATATATTCCATAAATTTGGCTGATCTTGTTTTTTTCTTTCTTTATTAATTTATGTCCGACACCGTCAATGGCCTTGGAAATATTGAACGCAATAACACAAGACTCTTCATGTTAATTGACTATATTTTTGAGAATTCCACTTGCTTTACTGAAAACATATCGATGATCGTTTCAAATATGTTGAAAAAATACAAATAATTGAGTATGGACTTGTAATCCAATACCAGACAGCGTTGTTTCGACCCAGCAGGTCTCATCAGTTGTGCTAGGCTGAATCACTGAACTGTCCTGAAGAAGACAAGTCTGAAAGTAACAGCGATAATTAACAATCTTCCCCACGAAGATGACAGAATATCAGACATAATATCAGATATAATATCAGTTCCGTAGGGGGAGATATCAGTTAAGTATTTTATCCTAATAACACTGATGAGATCTGATGGGTCGAAACAGCGGTGTTTGCTGTTTCGTCCATCTAGCTCTTGCAGTGAAAGCTGCAGTGAAAGACAGGACGAAACTCTTATGGCGATTGATGTCGAATTTTTTATATAACTGATGATGAAGCAACTGTATAATTATTTCGCCAATGAAAAATAAAGGAGAATTAAATTTCGATACCTCTCTGTAACAAAACAGCAACAACACGACAGAGCGAGCTGGATAGGTTCGTGCACTTGCCAATAATTTAAATAATATTCGGGTGTTTTCCAACACTTGTAATTCCCAGTGAAAACTGCAAATTACATAAATAATAATTTTTCTATAGAACAGAGTAACACATGAAAATTTTACCTGCACCAGACTCGAGAAACAATAAGAATTTTGATTTGGAGACTCATTCGACCCAAGGATACATTCACTTCCCAGGAACTGCGAAACAATTGACGAGAAAACAACGTATTTCATACTATAAGAAAACGACAAAAACTGGGCGATTTAATTGGAATACAATAGTCGATATTTAAGTAGCAAAGGTACCTGAGCTATAGGCAACCCATTATACCGGTTCAACTGCCCCCAGACTTTTTCGCTTCACTATGACCCTGTCTTTGGTAAAAGAAAAATTCTCCAAGATACTTCTTCAACAGAGACGCGTGAAAAGTTCCTCGCTCTTCGAGAGTTTCTGGGACTGTTAAGACGTAGGTGGCATAACTAACCTGCTTTTTAATGACATAGGGGCCCTCAAACAAAATCATAAACTTTTCTGTCTCCTGGTTAAGGGCCGAAGAGATGGGCGCGGTTCGTAGGCGGACGAGATCTCCTGTTTGAAATAAGGTGAAAGGGCGCCTAGGGTTGATATACGAGAGGCGCGTCTTTCGAGAGTCTCCTTCGCGAGGAATTTATTGACATGAATTGAAGGGGTTATATTTTTTAAGGAGTGATTAATTATTGGGAAAGAAAGTTAATGGCTTTCTACTACTCCATCTTGATACAAAAAAAGAAGGATGAGGAAGTCTTCCAAAGAAAGAAAGGAAGTAAGTCTATTCATGGATGTAGACACAAACTGAAAGGAAGTCCTCCTGAAACCGCTACTTTCATATAAACATTGAATTATACGAAAGAAAAAATTCTTTCGAAACAAATACTTCTATACGAACACTGAATTATACAGAAGATACTTTTCTCTACTCAGTTTGTATTTCAAACATTCGTTGTGGAATAAAAATCAGATATCATTCACATGAGTTCTACTTTAAAT